TTTGGATCCAGACTGTTACCAGTCTCCTATTTGGGGCTTCACCCTAAATAATTATAGAACTCTTGGGTCTAAAGGCCAGGAACCTGGTCACCAGTAGAATTTTTAGGCCATGGTGGGCATTTGGAAAAGAGACAGGCTGTGTGGCCCCGTTGACCTGGGTTCAGTCCCTTCCATCTTTTATTTACACAACTGCCACCAAGTCCCTTTATTTTGTGCGTGTGTGCATGCTTGTGTGTGTGTGTATTTGGGGAGGAGTGTGTATGTGCATATTGCCAGAAGACAACTCTGACTGAGTATGGTTCCTGAGGAGCTTACTACCTTGTTTCTTGAGCCCGGCTGGGACTCACCTGGAGCTTGTTGAGTAGGCTAGATTGACTGGTCTCCACTTTTCCTGGGCCTGGGGTTACAGACCATGCCACCACACCTGACTTTTTTATAGGGATTCTGAGGATGGTACGTGGGTCTCGTCGCTTACAGGGCAAGCGTTTTACTGACTGAGCACAGGCTGCTGGATTCAGTCTCCTTTCTGTACAACCCATTGGATACCCTGAATCCAGTCCATGCCCTGTCTAATGAGTGTCTCGCAACAACCCTAGAGAGGGGGTTGGATGATGCCAAAACAGGCAAAGGAATGGTGAGAACCTGGCTCAGGGCACATCAGGGCCTGGGTTTAGACCCTGCTTTCCAATTGTGCAGTCTAGGAGACACAGTTGTTTTGCTTCGGGACAGAGTCTCATGTAGTTAAGACTGGCCTCAAATTTGCTGTGTAGCTGAGCCTGGCCTTGAACTCCTGATCTCTTGTCTCTAGTTCCCAAGCGCTAGAATTACAGGTGTGTACAACCATACCTTGTGACTTCTTGTTGAATAAAAGCCATTTTTTTGTGATATAGTTAATTCATCTGATAAGCCAAATTACACAGTCAACAGCTTCAATTACATTCACAGTTGTATAGCTCTCTCTCTCTCTCACACTCACACACACACACACACACACACACACACACGGCCCATTAATAGTCACTCTTTAAGCAGCAGCTGTTCTTGACTTCTTATGCAAATGGAATCATATGGCTCATTCTTTTGCATGCTCTACTTATTATTGAAAGGTTCCTTGCCTGGCAGTGGTGGCACATACCTTTAATTCCAGCACTCGGGAGGCAGAGGCAGGCAGATCTCTGTGAGTTCGAGGCCAGCCTGGTCTACAAGAGCTAGTTCCAGGACAGGCTCCAAAGCTACAAAGAAACCCTGTCTCGAAAAAAAACAAACAAAAAAAACAGGAAAGAAAAAGAAAAAAAGAAAAGTTTCTCTGCGTTGTAGCATGTAGTCATGTCCTTCCTTCCTATGCCCAGGGAGCAGTATGTGATAAGAGTATATATAATACTTGTGTGTCTGGCCATCAGTTGTGCACATTTGGGTAGTGTCCACTAGTTTGTTTCTAGATATAATACTTTTAGGAACATCATTTCTATATGCGTGCGTGCGTGCGTGCGTGCGTGCATGTGCTTATTTCAGTTCTTTTGTGTTCCTGGTTAATCACAGTACTCTTACTATGGCAGTACTCAGGCAGACCATCCTAGCCTGGTTGTAGCTGCCACACACAGCTGTGCAGTGCTGTGGGCGATGGGGTTCTTATGGAGGTCACTTCATTTGCAGTGGGCATCGAGTGCATTTTGCCCAAGCATCATCTCATCCAGTCTCAGCTGTGCAAGGGTCAGGATCTGGAGCTTCACTTGAAAGTGGAGCACCCGTGTCACTGTGTGTGGGCTCTGGGTCGGTCCCAGCCTAAAGACAGAGCAGCCGGGTGTGTGTGATGCCTGCAGAGCGCACAGCACTGTCGTGTGCGGGCACTCAGTCTACAGGTGTCTGAAGGAGAAGTCTTCGCTGGAAGTCTGGGGGTGGTTTGTTTGCTTTTGATGTTGTTTAACTGTTGGGGGACAGAGTCTCATGTGACCCAGCTGACCTCAAGCTTAACACATATCCCAGCCATGTGTTGGACTTCTGATCCTCTTCTCTTAGCTGCCCAGATATTGGGAGTATAAGCCTGAACCATCATGGATGGCTTTAGAAGTCTGTTTTGGAGTCTAAGTTACTAGCTCTCCCTTCATGTATCTAATTTTTTTTATTTATGTGTATGCGTCTGTGCATGTGCACCCAGTGATCAGAAGAGGGATTGGGTCCCCTGTAGCTGAAGTTGTCAGAGGTTGTGAACCCTCTGGGAGGATTCTGGGAACTGAACTTGGCTCCTTTGAAGAAACAGATGCACTCTTAACTGCCAAGCCCCTAGCCTTTTAAAAAAGTGTGCTTATGTTATAAAACTTAGTAATTGGGCCCCAGTGTGTCCTCAAAACTTCTGTCATCTTGTCCTAATTCTTTATTACTTAAATGTACCCCAAAATGTTTACCTGAGGTAAATATATGTTTGGGTTAAAAACAAAAAGTTCAGCTGGGAGGTGGTGGTGCATGCTTTTAATCCTAGCTTTTGGGAGGAAGAGGCAGGCAGATCTCTGGGCCAACCTGGTCTCCACAGTAAGTTTCTGATGCGGGAGAATTGTCTGTATTCTGTCAATCATATTTTAATAAAACGCTGATTGGCCAGGCAGGCAGTATAGGCAGGAAAACCAGACAGGAAGTAGAGGTGATGCAATGAGAACAGGAGACTTCTGGGAAGCAGGGAGGTTCCTCTGCCATTCCTGCGCAGACCACCAAGAGGCAACATGTAAGCTGTCACACTGAGAAAGGTACTGAGCCCATGTGGCTAACATAGATAAGGATAATGGGGTAATATATGTTATAAGAGTTAACAAGAAGCCTGACCTAATGGGCCAATCAGTTTATAATCTTATAGAGATCTCTGTGTGGTTGATTTTCTTTGGGGTTTGCCAGCTGTGGAGTACGGGGCGGGACAGAAACCCCAACAAGCCGGCCCTCATGTTACAAGTTTCAGGACAGCTAGGGCTACACAGAGAAACCCTGTCTCAAAACAAACAAAACCCAAAAATGCAAAAACCAAAAACTTTATAACTGGTATGTCTTAGCAGTTGGTTAGAAATGCTAGGAACTCATCAGAAACCCTTTTCTAATGTTATTATTAGGAATAGCCCTTGTTGTCTTCTTCAGACTGGCTTTGAAGACTTAGCCCCACTTGGCCAGCTGCCCTCTTCCGTGTGTACCTTTGTATACTCTCTGCTCCTCCAGGAAAACATGGAGCTGGTCCTTTGGCCACACATGCAGTTCTCCAAGGCAGTTCCTGTGGACGTGGAGGGAGTGGGCATTGTTCAGAGAGTGACACCCTACAGAAGTCACCGTGGCAAAATTGAAAGAGTCTACGGTGTCACCCACTCCACTCTTGACGTTGTAAACAAACCAAGTTAAGGGCAAGATTCTGGCCAAGGAAATGATGCAGATTGAGCATAGGAAGCACTCAGAGTTGCAATAGCTTCTAGAAATGGGTGAAGGAAAATGACAAGACGAAGAAGGAAGGAGCAAGAAGGTACCTGCAGTAGCAGGTGCATCACCCCAAACCCAGAGAAGCGCGTCCTGAGATCCAGTGGGAAGGCGCTTGAGGGGGGAAGCCATGTTCCCTGTGAACTACTGACTAAGAAACTCAGAAGAAAAGAGTTATATACTGTGCCTGTGTTTTCCTTATTAAACAGAACTGGTTTCTTCTTCCCCTTCAGCCCCCCAAAAAACCCTCATGGTAGGATGAAAAACAGTTGAAGTTTTTTATCTTGTGTGTGTATGTGTGTGTGTGTGTGTGTGTATTAGACAAGTGTTTTGAAATTGTATCTTGCCAGCAGAGGTTTTGTTTTCAAGACAGTCTCACTTTATAGGCCAGAGCCCTCAGAGGTCTTGCTGCCCCAACCTCCTGAGCCCTGGGATGACGGTCTGTGAGGTGCCATGCCCCACGTGTGAGCAGAGCCTTAGCAGTACTTGTCACTGAGACTGGTGTCCTTGGGTCATAGGAAACCGCAGTGTCCCCGTTAGAGGACGGCAGACTGTGTGTTGTGGCAGCAGGCAGCTGACAAGCTCCCCTCCTGGGATCGCAATTGGCTTCCTGATGATCCAGCATGGAAATGCCATAGGATGCTTCATGCACAAAGCTATGGCCACCGCCACTTAATGGATGCTTCAGACTGACTGCCCTGAGCTCCTGGTTCCTCCCACCTTATATTCCTCTCTCTACCCAGCCATATCACACCTGTCTCCACCTCCCTAGTGCTGGGATTAAAGGCGTGTGATCCCAAGTGATGGGATCAACCACCTTTGTGTGAGCTCTGTTTCTCTTTTAGACGCGTTCAATCTTAATGTAGCCCAGGGTGGCCTTGAACTCACAGATCCACCTGCCTCTGCCTCCTTAGTGCTGGCATTAAGGTGTGTGCCACCACTGCCTGGCCTCTGTGGCTAGCTAGCTGGCTAGTTCTATGCTCTGATCCTCAGATTTAAACAAAATGTCTGAGACATTCATTTCATTTAAGCCCCGACAATGCTTAAGCACGCATGGGCAGCCTGTTTATGGCGGTTCTCAGTTGTTCCTAATCTGGGCAGTCCTAGATGCTTGTGTTATTGTCATACCCAAGGTTCCACAGTCTTCCTCTATGCTGTCTATCCTGCGTTTTTGGGACCTTCCTCTTTGCCTTCTCCCATGCACTCCTCCAAGCAGTGCTATCTTTGGGCACCTGCCATTACTCATTCTCATAACAAGGTCCGAAGTATCTCAAGCGCCATTGTCGTATCCTGTAGTTTACTTCCTTCTGTAGATGGAGATGCTGTTTCTTAATGTCCTCATTGCACTTCCTGTCTCTTCATGTGACGCCTAGAATCCTCCTGAGACATGCTGTCTCAAACACATTCAGCTCCTGTCTGAGGAGCGTTTCATTGTCCAGGTTTCGTAGTTACAAAGAAGGCAGCTCAAGACAGGTGTCTCACATACTTGTAATTTTGTTGCCGTTATATCTCTTGCTGACCAAACCTTTCCTGGTGCCTGGAACGCAGTCCGCAGTCCTCGCTGTTCTATCCACCTCTTGACGTCAGAAACAGATCCCCCCTTCGAACCGAGGCTTCCTCCCAGGTAGACAAAGTTGACTGTTTGTTTGAGATTCTGATTCTTGACACTCCCCGCAAAGAAAAGGTGTACCATGAAAAGCCTTCGGCCCCAGCTTACCTGACTATGGAAGGGGTACAGGTGCAGCTAACCCACGGGGCATGCTATTTGTTGAGAGTCTGTGTAAAAGCCCTCAGGTGTGGTGTTTTGCTCAATGCTGGTGCCCGCCTTCCCTTCCAGCCTTTTAGCCACCTCATGGCCTGTTCCCATGGGTAGATACGTATTCTCGAGGTTCCCAAGCAGTAGATTAACTTCAACATGCTCATGTAGAGAACATGTTATTAAACAGTGTGCTCCCCAGCATCTTGAACACACCCTTACAGGTTCATGCTCTTGGACCAGAACGTGCTGTTCCCTCCACATAGAATGCTTTTCTGCTGGACTGGTTTGTCCTCCTTCAGCCAGGAGCTCCTGTAAACGTGGGGGAGAGGGTGCCTCCTGTGCTTGGTACATGCCTCCCTCCACTCCAGCTCCCTCCCATAACACGCAGCCTGCTCCTTGTCAGAGGTTTTTGTCCCGCCTGGTCCCTCAGCCGTTCAGTCCCAAAGAAACATACAGAGGCCTGCATTAATTATAAACGGGTTGGCCTATTAGCTCAGGATTCTTATTAATCAACTCTTACATCTTACATTAACCCACTCTCAAAGGCCATCAGCTGAAGGAGGTTCCCCATCACCTGCTCTCCTGGTTCATTTTATGTACCCACTCTTACGGCGGTCTACTTCCCACAGCCAATCACGGAGCTGATTCTCTACCTCAGAGTCCTTGTACCTACCTGCTGTTCTTTCTATGGACAGCTATTCAGACTTCCTTATGATTAATTCCTTCCACTTTCATATCCGTAGCATTCATGGTACTTGGTGGCCATGCGTATGATCCCAGCTTGTGGGAAAGAAGCAGATGCAGGAACATAGTTCAAAACCAGCCTGGGGTACATATTCAAATCCTGTCTCAAAATAAAATACAGATGCCAGGAGAGAGCAAGAGAGAGTTGCATTGCTTCCTCTGCTAAGGCCTTCCTCCCCTCTGAGGGAAGAACATTTAGTGCATATCCCTCAGTGTTCTGGCAGGCTCTGCCATCTGGCTGGTACTGGGAGAGTATATGTTGAATGAATGAGCTTTGTGTTTTCCTCGGTTTTTTCACTTTACGCTGGGTTAGAATAATTTGCTCACACTTCCCACTGTGCCCCACCAACTGGGACTGCCTTAGGGGAATGACTCGGGAGTTGTTTATCTTACAGTACAAGGCTGCTGTGTAGTAAGTGTTTGTGGACATTAGGAATCTATGGAAGGTGCTTCTGAGACTCAGGATCTTTGCCTGGAGGTGGCCTTCCTGCCAGTGTCCTTCTGATGTTGCCAGTGTCCTTCTGATGTCACCAGTGGAAGTGTCAGTGGGAGCAGGCTGTGGCTGTTCTGATGTTTCCAAAGCTGGTCTCTTCAGTTCTCCCCGGCTGCGGGGGATTTGTTTCATTTGTGACTGCTGCTAGCCCTCGGGAGTATAGGTGGAAAGGGCACACAGCACATCCAATGCTTAAGAATTGTACTTGGGTTTATGACTTTGGAGCCTACCTCTTGGAGCCCGGAGAGATAATGACTCAGCTAATAAGACCACTGACTGCTCTTCCATAGGACCTGACTTCAGTTCCCAGCACCCACACGGTAGCTGACAAAGGTCTGTAGCTCTGGTTCCTATGCCCCTTTCTAGCCTTCATGGGCATGCCCAGGCATATATTGGGTGCACAGATACGGATGTAGATGAAACATTCTACTACACATCAAAAATAGTATAAGTAAATCTTTAAAAAGATTAAAAAAAAAAAGACAAAACTAAACCCTTACACTAACTTTTTGGCATTCAAATTGTCTCCTGTATTGTAACCATGATGTGGTCCAAATTTAGATTTGTCCCAGTGTCCAACAACCCATGTGGCACATTCTTCTCTTGCAAACAGCTCAGCCTGTTGACAAGACCCTCGGCGGTGACAGCACACTTCTGAAAATCTGCCTGGGGTTGCAAGCCCGGGCATCCTTATGTTCAGAATCCAGAACTACACAAAGAAGCGAGGACAGGGAGCTCTTTGTCATCTCTTTATCTAAGTTGATGGTAAGTTTGGAGAGGAGAGGAAAGAAAGAACTTGGCTGAGCATGGTCTCTGTCCCTGAGGCAGTGCCGACCTGTACCAGCTGCCCTTGTATACAAGGATGTACGCCATTTCTCTGGGTGCCTCTCTGTCAGTTAACGCAGCAGGCCAGTTTAGCCGTTCATTTCCTGCTGGCTGACGTGCCCTGGATGGAGAATGTCTGTGAACAAGTTCTTTCTCTCTTCCTTTTCGTAGCCCTGCTCTTCTGTACAGCCGTTCCTGGGCCCCCTGACTCCAGGAGACCCTTCCACACTGAGACACGGAGACTCTCAAGTCCCTTTATATGAGGCGGGACAGTGCTCATGGGACTTGGGGTAGAACTTCATGCATCCCCAGCCATCTCTAGGTTCCTCGTGACACCTAATGTGACAGAAATGCTACTTAAGTAGTTAGATTATTTAGGGAATAATTGCCCCCCCCCAAAAAAAGGCTGTATATGTTTAGCACAGGCAAATTTGTTTTGTCTTGTCTTTCTTTTTCTTTTCTTTTTTTTTTTTTGTGCTGAGACAGTATCTCACCAGAGAGTACAAACTAGCCTTAAACTGTTGATGTACCCGTTTCCCACTGTCCCAGCCTCCCCAGAGCCAGGAGGCAGGTTGTTTTTGTTTGTGTCTTAAAATTTTAAAGATTATTTCTATTTTTTTATTCATGTGCATGTCTGTCTGTGAGTGTATACACGTATACCGTATGTGTGCAGGAGCTCACGGAGGCCCTGGGTTCCCTGGACTTAGAGTTTATAGGCAGTCGTGATCCACTTTGTATGAGTTGCTAGAAATCAAACTCAGGTCTCTTAACCACTGAGCCATCTTTCTAGCTCCTAAAACTATTTTTGGCTCACCCTCCTAGGATCCGTGGGTATGAAAGGCTAGCACTACTTAGCAAGATACAAGTAACCCCCAATGATTTTCTGTGGCCGGAAGAAGTACGTACCCTGTGCCGTCCTCCTTGTGTGGGAGAGAGGCAGGAAAAGAGAGCGGCTGAAGTGGTCTGAGTCCAGACTGCTTTCTTTGTGCCCCACGAGTCGTGCTTTCCAAAGCGCTTGGCGTCCCTGCTGTATGGATGTGTCATTGTGAGATGACAACAGGATTTGCTGGGAATGTGGGCCACTATTGTATCCGCCTTACGTAACCACGTGGAGTGGTGGGAATGGGTGAGCGGCCTGGGAGGTAGGCAGTGGCCAGCCCTGACTCTGCGGAGCCATGAAGGCTGCCCAGGTCTTCCAGAGGATGTGGATCCAGGCAGTTAAAAAGTTGGAGAGATGGAAAGACCATGTGAGTCCTTGGGCATTCGCCCTTCTTTCCCATGCTTTTTCTGCCGGAGGGGAGGGGGGCAAGCCCTTCCTCACACAGTGGCACACTGACTCCTTTATCCTCGGATTTATTTGTGTCTTGGCAGCTTTCAGGAACAAGTTTGTGAGATTGCATGCAGAATGTGGCTTGCAGTCAGTGGTAGAATTTTAAGTACTTGTCTTATTTTGAGCAGACCTAGGTGAGACTGATAGCCGCTCACTGGATTTGTGAGTCAGACTGCTCTCCGTGAGCTTGGCTTCTTGGGTACAGATTAACATACTGCTTTGTGTGTGTTTCGAGAATTTTGTGTTTGGGATCAGGTCTTTAACCTTCTTGTCCTGTAGAAGCCTACACCCTGATGGCTGGGCCTTCCATGTTTCTGACCATAGATTTAGTACCTAGGGCACTGTAACATGGATAATTGCTGTGGTTTGGACTGTGATTTTGTGTGTACTTAAAGCAGCTTGGGGTGAAGTTTTGTTCTTAGTGGTCTCGCTCACTGATAAGCGGCAATATGTGGACACGGAGCTTAAAAGTTGACTGTTCAGGGTCACTACAGGCCATCAAGACTTAGTTACCTGCCTGTGACTGGTTGTAAATGTTTCCTTTTGTGTGTTTTGGGAGGCGGAGTGCACACGTGTGTTAAAGGGGCTTGTATGTGGAGTCCAGGGGTCAGTTTCAGGCATCGTTCTTAAGGAGCTGGTATTTGAGACAAGGTCTCATTGAGCCTGGCGCTTGCTGAGTCTGCAAGACTGCCTAAGCCATCAGGTCCCCTCCTGTCGTCACCTCCCCAGCTCTGGGATCACCCGGTGGTTTTTGCCTCTGTTCTAGGGACTGAACTCGGGTCCTTCTGCTACGGCAGCAAGCACTTTTACCAACCGAACTATCTTCCCAGCCTTAAAGGATAGTTATCTGTTTGATCAAGGTTTTCCCGAGCTCTATAAAAGGCCTAAAAATAACAGATTGGATAACTCTTTCTTTAAATAGTCTCATTCTTTAAATAACCTATACACAGTGCTGCTTATTTGCAGTAGGCCGCGTACTCCTAAGTATCCATGGAATGGCTTCTAGGAATGACTTGTTCTAATCTGGAGGATGCTACTGTTTGTGTTCCTTATATGGGAAGTAAAGTAATCAGAGACACTCATGGAGACCACGTGGAAGCTGCTGGTGGCTGAAATCTCATCCCCGAGGTTGAAAAGGTGCCCTGGGCCCATAGGTGGAGCCCCGATCTCCGAGGAGATTGGAGTTGCAGGTCCTTCTGTGACTTTACCTGTTCAAGATTGGATGCCACCTTCATTTTCCTAATAAAGTTATTTTTTGACCTTTAGAAAAGGAAAGCAAGGTGCTGAGGGGTCTGGAGCACCCTGGGCTCTCCCACACAGTGCCCGTCTCCGTCTGTCACACTTGCTGTTCTTTTTGACCTTGTACCCCACACACTGCTGACACTGCCCCCATCCGCCTTCCCCCAGCGGAAGTTGCCGCGTTCTCCTTTTCCCTTGCAAAATTGAAACTGGACTAAAACTTCCGGAACTAGATACTGCCTTGGGTGTTAGGTCCTCAGCCAGAAGTCAAGCGCCCCTTGGCGGCCCCCTTGCCTCCCTGCTTTGATCTCACGAAACGATTGGTGCCTACAAACTGCTTAAACAGTGAAAGCCTGGTACTTCACAGATACCATGAGTTCATCACGTCACCCCTTCCCCACCAAGGTGTAGAACTTGGCTCCCCTTGTGTCTCACCTCTGCCTTTTTCCCAGGCTACCTCATCTTCAGTGCTATATGTGCTTCGTTCCTTAGCTTTTCCTTTGCACTTTTACCATGTATGACTTACATACATGTGCACATGGACCACTAACAAAAGATGAGTGTTGTCAGCATTTTAAATAAGCTGCTATCTGTCGGTGTGTGGGGGGCGGCAACAAGGAGCAGAATTTTATCAAAATGCATGCACTGTGTGCATGTATGAAATTTTATTTTATTTTATTTTTTTTTTTTTTTTGAGACAAGGTTTCCCTGTAGCTTTGGTGCCTGTCCTGAACCTAGCTCTTGTAGACCAGGCTGGCCTCAAACTCACAGAGATCTGCCTGCCTTTGCCTCCTGAGTGCTAGGATTAAAGGTATGTGCCACCACTGCCCAACTTGAAATTCTAAATAAATTTTAAACATATCTGATGTTATATTAAACTCCTAACATTGATCATTTTAAGCATTTCTAAGTTCCGTAGTGTTAAGTATGTTCATATTGTAGTGAGGCATTGTTTGTTTTTTTCAAATTATGTGAAAACCGATGTCACACTCTTGAAATCCTCCTGGAGTGCTTCCCCCTTGAATTGTGTTTTGAGGGTTTGTGTTGTGTGGTGTGTTTGGTACCTGTCCATTTCCTAGAAAGCCAGACTGGAAAGCTGGACCACAGGTATCTCAGATGCCAGCCTGCCTACCCTCTTCAGATGTAGAGGTTGAGGTGGGAGGATTTGCCGATAACAACGCTAGAACCTGTGAACAGTGACTGTATTAGTTACTGACGGTCTCTAGAACCTGTGAACAGTGACTGTATTAGTTACACAGAGATCTGCCTGCCTCTGCCTCGTGAGTGCTGTGATTAAAGGTATATGCCATCATGACTGGCTAATAGTCATTTATTAAAGTAGAAAAACTGGACTAGGGATGTAACTTAGTGGTAGATTATCTGTCTCATGCATGTGAGACTCTGGGTTTGATCCCCAACATGACAAAAGAAAAGAAGGATCCCCCCCAAGAAGCCCCAAACAAAAACAAACACAGTAGTCACGGTAAACAAACAATTGGGAGTTCTATAATTTCTTTTTCTTAATCCTTTCAGGATGTTTGTATGTTGCTTTGGATGGATGCTTGGACTTTCTTCAGGACCCTGCTACCCCCACCAGCCCGCCCAGCCCCCCACCCCCTATATAACCAAGACTTTGCCTACTCCCCCTATACCTTTGTATCTTTTTGACCCTGGATATAATATGAATTGTAGTTTTTTAATCTTTGAGAATTCTGATCTCTTGGAGCCAGATGGCATTTGCCGTGGGAATGTCCCAGAATTGAGCTCAAGGGGAGGAGGAGAGCAAGAGTCACAAATGCCTCTCAGTCTGCGTAGTCAATAATCAGTTAAGTCCCAACAGGCGGCGACTTCATGTTTCTTCTGTGCAGACAGAACGGTGGTTTCCTAGCCTTCTGCTTCCAGAGGGAGTGAGTTATCTGTTCAAGCGTATCAGTTGGCATCGTCTTTAGCTCTGAGCGTCTCTCTCCCAATCTTAAGAGCTTGTGAACAGGGAGGAAATGCCACATTATCTGAAGATTTTTTTTTTCCAGTATCCCCTAGTCGCTCTAATTATCAGTGCGGTATTAGCTTCTTGCTCTTCCTTGGCCTTCTGTGTGACAGACACGTCCTACCTTCTGGCCTTGTGCTGTGTCCTGAGTTGTCCCTTTGTGTCTGCTTTATCTCTCATTGTCTTCTTGAGCAGCGTCTTGTGTGAGACACTAGTCCCTCTTTGTGTCACTTCAGTTCTCTTCATTTCTCACAATCCTTTCAGATTTATTGGTGTGGTCCTTTTGATGGCTCATTGATAACTATACTTTCAGTGAGGTGTTCTAATGTCTTAAAACATGAGCTATGTTTTGTATACTTTCTTGGTTTATTATTGATGTTTCTAATACAGCCATTGATCCTTAACTTTGTTTCTTGTAACTGTCACTTAGTGTGTGTGTGTGTGTGTGTGTGTGTGTGTGTGTACATGTATGACTGTGTATGTGTGAGTACTGTGAGCGTGAGCACCTGTGAGCAATGCACTCAGGCTTCTTATGTATCTGGGAATTCTATGTCTCCTTCTTTTAAACATGTCCCTTGGAGAGAGGAACCCTGCATTTCCTATATGGTGTCATCACCAGTGCCACTTGGTGGTGTGCTTGGGGAGGAGGTACAGTCACCTTCCGTGGTAGAACTGCATTCCAGACCTGAATGCAGGCTCCTCGATAGGGATTCTCTGGAGTGGTAATTTCTAGCTACTCCACTGTCCGCATGAGCTGGACAAGAGGGTCCTTCTGTGGGCGCACCATTTCCCTCTCCTGTATCCACTCAGGGATCCTCCTGTGGATGCACCATTTCCCTCTCCTGCATTCACTCAGGGATCCTCCTGTGGACG